AATAGAGATCAACTTAGACCAATTGCGTGAAGTGTTAGTCTTGATAAGAATCCGCACTTTCCCTTGAATATTTGTTTTGTCAAGCAATGGTTCTTGAAAAGAGATTCTTATATGTTTAGAGGACAGTGGGAGTCTTAAAGGTCTTGAAAGTTTCAAGAACTAATCAAGGATAAAACCTATAGTTCTTCACTAGCACACGACTTGAGGTTTATAATCTATGGTGTTGACATTTCTGTGTCCATTCCAGTTAAAGTTGGTTTTACATAGGAGTTCTAAAAGTTCTCAATTGATTGCATAACTACATGGAAGCAATGGCAGGCCCTTGGGCTGCCAGGAGGAAAGAAGTTAAGACTGCACAAGTTAAATCCATATGAATTTGGAATTGTCACTAACCTTGTCTTGTGATTATGTTTTGACAAATATCACATGGATAGGAACACATACACCATAAAATCTAAGTTTCATAAGGTTTCTCTCTGATTCATCAAAATGATAGTGAGGAAATGCTTTCACTATGTAGATTTTTAGTAGATAGCAATTGTGACATTTGCATTCTCAAAGTCGTCAGTGGAGCGTGTTGCCACACCCCTGAACCAGACGGTGGAAACATCCAAGGGCTATTGTGACTTAATTGAATACCATCACAAAGGAAGATGAATCAGTGAGTCTGGAAGATGACTCAGCGAGTCTGGAAGATGACTCAGCGGGTCAGTTTGGATTTTTTTCTGAATTGGTCCCCTGTGGACTCGGCGAGTCTGGAAGATGACTCAGCGAGTCAGTTTGGGTTTCCAAGCATTGGGTCGCGTATTGACTTGGCGAGTCTGTTAGAAACTCAGTGAGTTGAGTCGAGTAACTCTTGAATCATTAGGGACTCGATGGAGGGAAAGTTACACTCAGCATATAGGGCAACATGGACTGTTGACCATCGACCAGTGACCTTGACTTTAACTAAGGAGTGTCTTGTGCCTTCCAAGGACTTTTTTTTAATTTGAGTAATTATTGAGTGGACCACTTGTGGGTACAGACGAGGTGGTTGAAGCTATATATGTAGGACGTGGACAGTATTATTTTGAGCTACTAGCGAGGTGAGTTATCCTCACTATATCACTAGGGTCTAAGGCACCAAGGTTGGCCCTTTAGGCTGTTATTCTGATTATAGTATGTTGTATGTGGTTATGATCTGTTATATCGGTATCCAGATAGACAGGATGTTGTTATGCTTTATGATCCGTTAGGATCGGTATGTTAGTGACCTGGTTAGGTCAGTATTCTGGTTATAAGTGATTGCAATGATAGATGATCTGTGAGATAGTTATATCTTATATATGTATGCTAGTATATGTTATTTATGTGCACATGATTATTTGTTTATTGATTAGGTTGAGGCGGTCCTGCTTTGTGCTGAAGGCCAACACACCCGACAAGCGGTCCAGATACACTGTGGACCCTACATGATGGTCTAGTCATACCAAAGGCTCGGGATAGATCTAGATAGACTGTAGGCCTTACAAGGCGGTCCAGTCAGGCTAAAGGTCAAGTATACATGTTGTCGTTGTTATATGTTATTGATATGGTATTATCGGTGTAGTTTTGGTATTTTGGGGGTATCTCACTAAAGCTCTCGGGCTTACAGTTTCAGTTTATTGTTTCAGGTACATCAGGAGATCGTGGAAAGGCAAAGACGTGACCGTACCGCTCCTCATCCTTAAGATTTTGTTTCTGGGACACTCTGATGAATAATATTTTGAAAACAATTTGTATAATACTATTTGGTTTTTAATGAATGGAAAAGTTAAAAATTTGGCTTAAATTTTTGGATGTCACATTATCTCTATCTTTCCTGAAGTTATTTCTAGTTGGTGGGGGAAACCCAAAAAGAACTGTACTTTTATTCCATAAAGTTATACCTATTTAGTTATGACTTTTGACCAATTTAGTTATGGCCTTAGACACATATTCCAACAATATAAACCTTGTGGCTCTGTTGGTTCTTGGGAAACACTTCATCAACAAGTTTCTGGATGACGAACCTTACAGATTCCACTTCATATAGTTACAGGAATTCTTGCAATCTCTCACCTATGATGCTGAGAGCTTTGATGTTGAATTTCGTAATCCCTTCGATCGAAATCCACCTAAAGACATCGACAAGGTCTTCGAAGGAATATAAAACATATGATACATAGTTAATGATGATCAAGAACCTCGAGTCATTTATAGTTAAGGAGATAAAGGTCCTAAATACTTCATTAGGTTACGATAAAATCATCGTTACACCTCCTTATTCCTATAAATTATCGTCGACATCAAATTGAAATACAAGAGGGCTCTTAAGGATTTAAAACTTAATCATGAAAGATATAGAATGAGTATTTATGGTTCATGCATTCATCAAGAGAGTTATAGACTTCATTGACAACAACCACTAAGGTGGTCAGTACATACATATCTGAGGTGTTGACGATCCAAAGACTTAATGATCTGAAGAGTGAATACACCATAATGTTGCGATCCGAAGGTGAAAGAAGGTTAGTAGAATTTTATAGTGTTAGTATCTAGCAAACATTATATGATTGCAACTAATGTGGTTATATTATGTTCCTAGAGTTGTATTTCTCAAAATATACTACCACTAATGTAGCTTTATGGTCGCCTTTATATTGTACCTTGTATCACATATGTGATCCGGGTTTCCATTGTAATTGTCTAACTTTGAATATTTTCAATCTACTAATGTTTCTCTCATATTGTTTGGGGGTGTTTGAGATTGCTTTTCAAAATAGTCTATTGGCTTATTGAAAAACTAATAAATAAATAAAAAAGTGTTTGACAAACTCAAAAGCACTTTTTAAAATAGTTTTTCTATTAGCTTAAAAAATCACTTTTTAAAAAGCATGGAAAATTTGGCTTTTTGAAAAGGGATAATGTCACTGTAGCACATGTAACTTTTCACATTTGGCTAATTTGGTCCTTAACGTTTTTTTTGGTACATTAGACCATTAAACTCGTAACTGACCTTTTAATTACACCATTTTAGAAGGTTTCCCGGTTACAATGCTTATGTGGCACGCTGATGTGTCCAATAAGCTTACTTGGTCCAGTTGTCGATACAGGCTTATTAATTGAAACCCTCATTCGGACCTCCTTTCAATCTTTACTTACCCTTCTCTGAAAAGTTAAAGACTTCTCCCTCCCCAACTATTTCCATCCTGAAGAAGAATGTCTTCGAGCTCATCGACGTCAAGGAATCAGCTACAAGTCACTCATGTTCAGTTGCAAGACGGGGTAAAGGTTTGTGATTGTGTCGTTCCAGCTAAAGAACGAACTTGTTGGAAGTTAACAAACCCTGGGAGGCGATTCTGGAATTGTCAAAACAGCATGGTTGGTCCCGATTCTCTTGATTTTGATAAGTTAGTATTTTATGGTTTGATGTGTTGTTTCTTTCTGTAAAAACGACATGGTGTATTTGTATTTTGTTTCATCTGTTAAAAACCCTAATTTTATTTCCTTCTTGACAATCACTGTGAATAAAACCCATTTCGCTAGTACATTAAAGGTAGTTGATTTGTGATTGTCAGTCAAACCCTAATTTTATTGTATTTTTATAGACTAGGTTGAGGAAATGTAGCTTCTTTGAATGGAAAGATGAAGAACAGGCAGATGGGTACTACAAAAACCTGCTATATTCTCTAAAGCAGAAACTGGATGCCAAAGATGAAATGTCTGAGATGAACAATTTGAGGAGAAGGATTGCTGAAGTGGAGTTTTTGCTGTCACATGAGCAGTATAAGGTGGCAAAGAGTGAGAAAGAAGTTCATGATGCAATGAAGTCAATAGGCAGGTACAGGATGATAGTTGCCCTGTTGTTTGGTTGATTGGCCCAATGTGTTTTGAAGTTAGGGGGGTCAATGTAGTTAGTTTGGTTGGTTAGGGTAAGCTTTTGTTTTTTTGGGATCCCTTGTATTTTTTGTAAAGGCAGACTAGAAAGTCAGTTCCATAAGGGCATTTTGTATGTATTGAAGCTGGTTTTAGTTATAAGTTGGGGTTATCAACCTTAATGTGTTGATGTTGTAAGGTGGTAAGTCCCTAATGAAAGGGCATATGATAAGTAATGTAAAAAAAATATTCAAAGTCCCAATTGTAGGGCATTTTGTATAATCAGATGATGTTTATCAAACATATGCATGGTCTATATTCCCAACAAATATATTTAATTAGGAAGTGGTCCATGTGGAAGTACACTATATGTATGGAGACCATTTTAATAATGAAAAAATGGGACCTGTGAAGCCATTAAAAAACCAAATCCGGGGCCATATAAAACATCCCCATGCATGCACATTATTCCAATTTTTTCCATGCATAAATATTCAAAGCCAAATGTCATGATTTTACTTAAAATGGTAACATACTTTCATACTTCATGTCATACATAAATAAATGACCAACATACCCTTTTCTTGCATACATAAATAAATGACCAACATACCCTTTTCTATCATACATAATTAAATAACCAAATTACCCTTTTCTTACATACATAAATGAATGACCAAATTACCCTTTTCTGTCATACATACTTAAATGACCAAATTACCCTTTTTCTTGCATACATAAATGAATTACCTACATACCCTTATCTGTCATCAATAAATAAATGACCAAATTACCCTTTTCTGTCATAAATACGGAATGACCAAATTACCCTTTTCTTGCATACATAAATGAATTACCTACATACCCTTATTTGTCATCAATAAATAAATGACCAACATACCCTTTTCTGTCATAAATACTTAAATGACCAGATTACCCTTTTTCTTTCATACATACTTAAATGACCAAAATACCCTTTAATGTCACACATACTTAAATATAAATTACCAACATCCTATTACATAAACTTTAAATATAAATTACCATCATCCTATTACATAAACTTAAAATCCAATTTATCATCATCCCATTACATAAACTTTAAACACAAATTACAATAAACACTAATCAATTACAAGAGCTTTTCCCTTCGAATTTCCTGGATCATCAACACCACCAATTGTTTTGCCTAATTTCAGCTTTAGTATTCTCTCTGACTTTCTTCTCCTTATCCTCTTCAAAATATCTGAAATTGGCCTAACACAAACCTGCTGAACTTGGTTAACAGGAGCAACCTCCTGAACATTACCATTATCCACTTGGGCATTATGATTAACCTCATCAACCTCCTGAACATTTACATTATCAACTTGTATAACAGGATCAACCTCCTCAGCCTCCTCATCTTGAACAACTTGCTCAACCACAACAGCTTCCTCAACCACATCAGCTTCCTCACCCATAACACCCTCATCACCTTCATAACTTCTAGGTGGAGTGAATTGCACATATTGAATAAAATCCCCTGCACTACTAGATTCAACATCAGTAGGAGCAACTTGCATATCATTTTGAGTAGTATCCATCTCAATTGGAGTCATTTCAACCTCTTCATGTTGTTGTGGTTCACTTGTACTACCCTACATGGCATGATATAATTATATTAGTAACAAATTATATGTAATTAATCTTATATTTTAAATTGTTTTACCTGTCCTGCATTTTGGTTCACACATACTTTTTGTTTCTTCTGTTTCTTCACATTTAACTTTTGGGGCCTTCTCTGTGGACAAGTGGCCTTGTTGTGACCTATCTCCTTGCAAATACTACATCTGATTTTCTTTCCAGCCTTAGAAACCCTGTGTGTTCCTGTATTCTCTGTAGTGGATTTCTTCCTCTTAGTAGTTGGCCTACCAGGCATCCTTCTATTAATAGGAGGCAATGGTGGAGTATAGTTTGTCTCTGGCCACATGTCACTGCTATTCATGGGAGCAATTCTGTAATTGTATGCCTTTCTAAATGTGGTTGTGCTAAACATGTTGTCTACATAGGCTTCTACATCCCTATTAAGAAAGGATATGCTAGCTACAGAATGAGCACATCCATATCCATTCAATTGCCACAACCTACATGAGCATGTTTTTCTTTCTAAGTCCACCTCATATGCATCTATTGCTCCCCTTACCTCAAACTGGTTTAATCCACTTGGTAGTACCTGATAATGCCTTTGAGCTTTTTTAAGCAAATTCACCTTATCCCTTATCTCTGGACAAATATGATTTCCCCATTGTTGTCCCTTTAATTTCATGTTGTAGATTCTGTCCATCATGTATAATCTTATCTCCTCTAACATGGTTATTATGGGTTCTTCCTAGCATCTACTATTACAGCATTAAAACTTTCTGAGAACCCATTTTCAACTGCATCACAACACCTTCCAGTTTGAAAGAAAGCTCTAGACCATGTTTTAGGATCTTTCTCCATGAGATATTGATGGGCTTCTGGGTTCAATGTCTCAATTTCTTTCATCACAACTTTAAAAGCATGCTCAGTTGTGGCTTTAGATGCTCTCCAAAACAAGGTATGATATATGGCACCAGTAAATCTCTTCTGCAAATTCTGGCAAATATGTCTAGCACACTGCCTGTGCTCTACATATGGCAGCAACTCTTTAACAGCCTCTATCAAACCCTGTATTAGTAAAAAGGTTAAATTCAGATAGTCTAAAATTAACATAAATGCATTACTATGTAAAATACTAACCTTATGTTGGTCTGACATTAAACTGAAACCATTGCCTAAATTCAAGTGTAGATCATCAATGAGAAGCTCTAGAAACCACTTCCAATTCTGCTTGTTCTCCACATTAACCACTGCCCAAGCAATAGGATATATCTTGTCATTTGCATCCCTCCCAATAGCACAAAGCAATTCTCCCTTACAAACACCTTTAAGAAAACATCCATCAAGACCAATTACCCTTCTACACCCTTCAATCCAACCTTGTTTAACTCCTTGAAAACAACAATAGAACTTGCTAAAATATTTCTTTCCATCTGGCCCATCCTCCATATCTAGTTTCACAGTTGACCCAGATTTGTCCTTAAAATCTCATGACCATATGACCATAGCTTACCATAATGTTCAACAAGGTTTCCTTCAACAAGTTTCAGTGCATACTTCTTTGCTCTTCTACATTGCCCCATACTAACTTGGATACCAAACTTGGCCATTACCTTTAACCTAAGCTTCCTTACACTTATTTTCTGACTTTCTACAATCTCTTTGGTATAGTGACTCCCAATCCATGCATATGTCACCAATGATCCAAACTTGAAGTTCCTAGCACAATTATGATCAGCTTTTAGTGACTTGATTTGGAAACTCTCTTCATCACTCATCCAGGAAGCCCATAATCTAAATGTGCAAGCACCTTTGCTACACCTCACCAAAAGTCTTGTCCGATCATTTTTTTCAAAACACAATTGATATCCATTAGCTACAGCATAGTTACACAACATTGATTTTACTTGCCCTGGACCCTTAAATCTCATCCCTAGAATTGGTTTTTGTTTTTTCCAGTGTAATAGCTCATTAAATATGGAATGAGCTTGTATGTTAACTTCAACTTCTCTCCCATTGTCATCATCTACAATGTTGTTTGCATCCTCATCATCAACACATAGCTTACTCAAGAAAGGATCATTTGATGTCCTATTCATATGCACTACATCCTCATTAAATTCAAAGGCAACATTTCTAAGTTCATCTATGTTGTCTTCATTTTCACCATCAATACAAGACTCATGTTCATCATCATCATTATCTTCATCATCATGCCACCCATCAACACCAACCCCAATATGATCCACATAAACCGAAATTACACCATCTGTTCCATAAGCATCAAAAATAAAAGCAGAATATTCCACATCATCTGAAATGGGATTAAGCCTTCCATGAAGGACATGTCTGGTTCACAGTAGTAAAACTTTTTACACTCTTCATGCATGAAACGTTCGCAGAAGGTCACAAACTCAGAATAAGTCATAGAAGAAAAGTCAACATCATTGAAGATGGTTTTAACACCACCAGTGTAAGAGAAAGGATTTCGAATAAATACCCCTTGGTAGTTGAGTTCCACCATCGCAAATAGTCTATTAGGTTCCGATTGTGCCATTGTTATGAGTTCTTTGTTTCTTTCAGCTCGATCACAGGAATGCTTCACAAACCCTAAATCAGTTTCTTTTACAGCTCAATAATGAAGAAGAAGACTAGTGAAGTTCGATAGCTGAACACGAAAGGCTTTAAGCGTCGTATTTCATTAATTGATGTGGCATATCTCACGTGGCATCGGATTAGACAAAAAATATATATTAACTGACAAAATGGCATTGTATAACCGGGAAACCTTCTAAAAGTGGCTAAAATGGTGTAATTAAAAGGTCAGTTACGAGTTAATGGTCTAATGTACCCAAAAAAAACTTTAAGGACCAAATTAGCCAAATGTTAAAAGTTCCATATGCTACAGTGACATTATCCCTTTTGAAAATGTTTTTGGTTTTTTAACCAAAATTACTTTAAAAACCAATTTTTATGCCAAACATTTATTTTTAAACTTATTGACTTAATGATTTTTTCATAATAAAAGTCATTGTTGTAAAAATCCCGACTAGATCCCGATTAATCTCCGATTAATCCCTAGGCGCTACTCGACTGATTAGAGGCCGCCTAGCGATTAATCCTTGCATACATAATGAGTGAAACGTTATAAAATGATGAAATTTTAACATTTTGAACAAGTTTTATCTTAATGGAAACTATTTGAGACATGATTAGTGTTGTATTACCTATTTTGTTATCATATTAGTTGTATTTACGAACTTTAATATGATATTAGTCATATTTAATTTCTTAAAATTCAACAAATTAACAATTAATGGTACCCGATTAATCCTCTGATTAATCTCCGCCTAACCGATTAATCCTTTGACCCCAGTGCACCGACTAGCTAACATCGAGCGTTTTTTGCAACCTTGATAAAAGTTAATCCAAACATTTTTTAAAAAACTTTTTTTACCACTAATAAGTCAATAAACATATTTATCTAAAAACACTTTTAGAGTTCAAAAAACACTCTCAAACACCTTTTTTTTTTTTTTTTTTTTTTTTTTTTTTTTTTTTTTTTTTTTTTTTTTTTTAACAAACCCTACTATATCAACATTATCAAACATTGTTTAAAAATTATCAACTTCTTCGATAATATATATCATATCGTATTGGTTGTTGGTCCTCGTCTTCATTGTTGTCTTTATATGTAAAATTAAATGCTGTTCGTGATTACCTAGCAATCCTATACGTATGCTAATTGTAAAACTGAATGTACGTAAAGTAGATTCACCAATAATAACTCGCAAGACCATAACAATATTAGTATATTACTATTGGAAAAGTGACATCGCCGATTAACACTCACCATTTCATGGGATTGGTTGTATTTTTTAACAAAAACAACTTATGTGATTTTTGTCATTTTCTGTATAGTGGGCCTACCGTGGTTACTTTAATAAAATTTAAAAAAGTGGTGATCAAAATATCGTGAAATTAATTCTTAAATTAAATATTGGATGCAGGATTGTTGTATGTATAATACACATTGTAAATTGTAAATATAGTGCCAAAAGTGAAAAATGTAACCCTTTTCAAACGTATACAGATAGAAGTTTTGCAGAAAACAACGTCAACGCCATTGTAAACCCCAAAAAGTGCAGGCCATGACTTTACAAAAACCACAAAAGTGGAGGCATACCACCAGTCTCCATCTGCCATCTTTCATCTTCAACGCACATTAGAGATGAGCATGAACAGGTCAGATTCAGAGGCAAAAGATCAATTTAGCAAGCTCCCTGATGATCTGTTCGTCTTAATCCTAACAAAAATCCGTCAACAAGACTTCAAATTCCTGTCTCGGTGCTCTCTGATCTCCAAACTTTTTGCTTCATCAATCCCTCTTATGCCTTCTGTTTCTATCTCAATATCCCCGCCAAATACGCCAAAACCCACTTCAGATTTCTCCAAAACAACTTTACAAGACGTCGCCGATCGGTTTATCGACCGGAAAATGGAATACTTGACCTCCCTTCGGCCTCAGATCCAGAAAGCCCTAATTTTTCTCAAAAAGTTCACCATGGTTCGAGCTCTTGATGTTGTTTTCATCACCGATGATGATGATGAAGATGACCCGAAAGAAGGGGGTTTTCGATACGGGTTTCTCCCATCGTTAATCAATTGGAAAACCAAATTCGATTTCAAGTTACAAACCTTTGTGTTCCTCTTCGCTCAATCTATCCTCGGAAAATCAGAGCAAACGGAGGAAGCTGTAATCAACCAGGTTACAGCTGAGGAACTCGAATTACGACTTTACTCTTCTTTCCATGGTGTTGTTGATTCCATCGAATGGGGGAATGTCATGTCATGTTTATTAGTTCAGCATCCAATGCTTCGTGAGATCACAATTGCAGGTTCGAGAAAAGGGGGTAAAATCTGCTTAACAGCACAAGAGATTCTCGATTTAAGAAATTCTTTGTCGCCTGAAGATGTTTCCAGGATCTCCGGAAATGGAAATGGAATTGGAGTGACGATCAACGTGAAATCTGCATATATTCCTGTATTACGTCTGCCATCATCTGGTTATGCCATGAAATCAGTATCTCTTGTGGTTGTGAGAGTAGGGAGAAGACTTTATCATCCGGGAGACGAAGCTTTTCCTACTGAAACCGACACAGAGACTGATTCAGACTCTGATGATGATCATGAAGATGGTCAGCTTGAGTATGACGATAATGATATAATAAATTGGGAATTTGATTCAGAAGAAGAAGTTTTTCGTGAAGCTGTAACTTTGATTTTGGTGGATCATAAGGACAAGATGCAACGAGAAACCTAAAAAAAAAAAAAAATCTTGAATTTTTTGAGTTGAATTTTTGTACGCGGGTATTGTATTGCTTCATACATTATCAATTATTCAATTATATCGAGGGTAAAAAAAAATTACTGCGACTCACAAACAACCTTATTATGTGATGTTTGTTTTGTAACTTGTTACACTTTATGCTTTTATAGGTAAATAAATTTGTTTTTTTTATTCATATTATTTTTATACATTAATGTAGTTCGGTTAGTAGTCTCAATCAGTTTAAAAAAAATGTAGAGTTTGCACAAACATTATTTATCTATTCCACATTCATAGAATTTAACTGGATCCAGGCATAATAAGTCATCAAGGGTCATGTAATAACTTAAAAGTGTTGTATTGTACAACTCTATAATGCATAAATTGTTTATATCTTTCACATATATTAATTAAAAAAAATTATTGTATAATATAATGAATGGATATTGAATAAAAAACTAGAATTATCACATAACACAAAAGGGATAATGATTTAAAAGTGTAACATATTATTTGATTTGTACACATTTGGTTATTGAGATTTTTTTCGTCCATATTTACCCCTTAAACTTGTTAAATTATACACATTCAGTCCTTATGACCTGTTACTCCAGGTTAGCCGGAAAAAATGACTTAATAGGGTAATATATTTTTCATTTTGTACACATTTAGTCCTTAATATTTTTGTACATATTTAATCCTTAAATTTTTTTTGTTTCAAAATACGTTCTTTTTTGTACTCATTCAGTATTTATGAATGATTTGTTTAGGTTTTTTTCACGACATCTTACGTGAGATAATCATTGATGATGTGCTTGGGGTTGTTGATGCTTATATCCAATGCGATCTCGACTGTTTGGTTGCGTAAGTTTTGTGGTTTGGCTTAGGTCTTGTATTTTGAACATCGTAACTTCTTCATACGATATCAAATTTTATGGATCTTTATTCACATTGTTCATTTTTTGAGTCTACTACAACTTTCATTAAGATTACCCTCGTTAAAATCTAATATATTTTTACTAACGATTTTATAAAAAACATACATACATGCATTCATAAAAAACGTATGGATAGGGAAGACGCAGTAATACATAGTAGGTGTTGCCGAGATGAAATAGGTGTTGTTGATACATGGAAAATCGGTATAAACGTAAAAAAATAAAGCGAAAATTTTTCCACTGTGAATAGAAAAAACAATTGTTATCGGTGCAACACCGGGACCATACTAAATCCGCTACCAGGTATGGATATAAAAATGGTAAGTAAAAATAGATTATTTTTTAATGGGAGTAATATAAATGAAAGTTGTAGTAGACTAAAATACGAACGTATGGATATAAAAATCTTTAAAAGCCGAGATCATATGAAGAAGTTATGACGTTCAGAACACATGACCTAAGCAATCAAGTAGTCGAGATTGCGATGGATATAAGCATCAAAAGCCCCATACACCTCATTAATGAATGTCCTGCGTAAGATTTCGTGAGAAAAAACTAAAAAATCATTCATAAGTATTGAATGAGTACAAAAAAATGACTTAATTTGCAAAAAAAAAAAAAAAAAAAAAAAAAAAAAAAAAAAACCTGACTAAATGTGTCCAAAAATATTAAGGACTAAATATGTACAAAGTGAGAAATATATTACCCTAATAAGTCATTTTTACCGGGTAACTTGCAGTTGCCAATCATAAGGACTGAATGTATACAGTTTAACAAGTTGAAGGGGTAAATGTGGACGAAAAAAAAAAACTCAGTGACCAAATGTGTACAAATCAAAAAATATATTACCCTTTTAAGTCATTATCCCAACATAAAATAACTATGTAGTTGTTTTTGTGATAACAATAGCAATAGCATTATAGCACCTGGAGAATCCGCAAAATGTGGTAGGACACATAGAAGTTCACAATCATGTATTTTCTTGACGAAATTGATTGCGTTACTAAGATGATCTCCAATATGTTCACAACAAAAACTTGTAGAATGGGAAAATAAAGAAAAGTAAGTCATAGCGTACAGTAAGACATAAACATGGGTACTTCTTAAAGAGGCGTACAGAGAAGCTGCAAAAAGATAATAAAAAAATTAGACAGAGGTGAAACAATACATGAAAGAGGTGAAACAAAAAGATAATAAAAAAAATTAGAAAGAGGTGAAACAATACATGAATAATTAGAAAACTAACAAGCCGGAAATCATTATCGACAAATAATGATCAAAAGACAATTATATGCAAGGTGGAGACTCTCCATCAACCCTAATGTTTTGCCTCCAAACTAGCCTATAAGAGACCATGTTATCGGTAAAAGCAAACTCTTCAATGTCAATCCTCACATTATCCTCCAACTTCTATAATGTAACATCCTTATTTTCACGGCTAGAAAAGACCGATTTTGTTTATGCTTTATAAAATCAGAGTACCTCTTTTAATAAAAATTTTCCAGAATTTGTTCCCAGTAAAACATGATAAACACGTTATTAAAGCATTTCTGAAGAAAAGTATTTTTAATTCATTTTAAAACATTTGGGATGTCATCATCAATACAGAAACATAAGCATAAACAGAACTTACATTCATTATCACTAGTGATCTATATCTCCTTAATCTCTCAGTGTAAGGTAACTTCAGATCGTCACCTGTGATATAAATAAACTGAGTGGGTCAGGTTGGGAAACCTAGTGAGTACATACGGTTTTCAACCCACAATAATATAATTATTCTGTTTAAACATCAAACAATCAACCCAATTACCCATCCCCGTTATCGTCTTTACACTTAAGGATCTACCCTAAGAATCAACTATTTCTCGTTCATTTATTCCTAAGGATCATCCTAAGGAATCGTCATGAAGTCCATCGTTGCCACGGTTTACACAACATGCACTAAGTCTGCATAGTCGCCAGGGGTTAGGCATCAAGTTTGCATGATCGCCAAGGTTTACACAACGGGCACTAAGTCTACATAGTCGCTAGGGTTTAGGCATCAAGTTTGCATAATCGCCAAGGTTTACGCACCAAGTCTGCATGATCACCAAGGTTTAGGCATCAAGTCTGCATGATCACCAAGGTTTAGGCACCAAGTCTGTATGGACGCTAGGGTTTAAAGTACACCGGGTGAACACATTGTTCACAACACCTACAGGTTGCGAGCCTGCTAGTGTTCTACTAGACTGTATAGAATAGTCTGTGGTTGTCATCCATACTCTGTTGAATGACGGGCCATCATTTGGGAAAAAGGCTTCTCACATCATCCACCTCTCATCCTCACCTCACGGTCTATTTCACCTCTCAACTCATCATCCAACTCATACTCCATCTATTACATCTACCCATGTTTTACCCCAACATTATCGTAGATATAAAATACATATACGGTTTAAATCATTCAAAACATGTATAAAATCGTTCATCCAGCATAGACAACAAGTATTCAGATAATATGCACACATAGCACGTAATTTATATAAAATACTTCATATCTATGTGTAAGATGAAAGTAACTATGCACTTACAACACGTAATACATATTAAACACTTTATATCTATGTGTAAGATGAAAGTAACCATGCACTCACCTGAGAAGGTGGTGACTCGGTACTCGGACAACGCTTCGTTTACTTTAAAATAATTTCCTTTGACGAAACCTACTATTATTATCACTATATTTTAGTATAATATTTACCGTGACTAATTATTAGTCTTATTGTTATTATTATATAAGCGTTTAAACAATACATTCCAATCACTATGTATAGACAGGGGCCAGACATAAAACACCGCAGGGCAGGACCATTTTGGCGTATAGCACTTCTGAAATCCAACAACCCTATGCGGCCCTTTAAACCAGATTCCCCGTACCGCGAGTAGTTTAAAACGTATTACAACGACACTTATATAAGTCATAATAGCTCAAATGTTTATTGTAAGTTCATAATAACAATATTAATTTTAAATATAAGCTATATTAAAATAGGGTAAGCATAACTTACTTACAAGGGGATTTTAGCTAGGAGTCGGGCTCTGCAGGGGCCGAACTTCGTCGTTGAATCTTTCTAAGAAAGATTCGTGCAATGCTTCAACGCTCACCTTACTATACTAAAAACTGCAGAAAGAGAAGTCGAATCATGAGGGACCGAAATGCTCGGGGGATAAGGAGAGAAAGACTCTTGAATCATGAGAATGGTGCAAGAAATATGAGAGCCCAAGGCTTTTATTTATACTAATTGATTTTTCAAAAACTACCCTCCATAATTACTTAATGACCTTTTAGTTATATAAACAACTAAACACCCTTCTATAATACTATTTTAAATGGATTTAATGATATTTGTACTAAACTAATGTCCAAAGAACTCAACATTAGTCTTATAATGACCGCATCGTCGATACCTTTCTAATGATATATGTATATGTATATATATGTGTACGTATATATGATTTATACTTTATTTTAATACGTAAATATACTATTATAATTTGTAACTCGTTCATACAAACTCGTTTTTGATGTTCTTTATATCCACGCGTAGGTGGAGACATACTCTACAACTTTCGTTTAGACTCCGTCGGCTAATTTTGACTTTATTTTTAAAGTTATATTTTTAACAGTTCGGGACAGGATTGGTCCGTTAAAATCTCATATCTTCTTCATCCGATGTCCATTTTCATCTGTCTTTTTATCGTTATGCTACTAATAACGAGATCTTCGATTCTCGTTTAGGTTATGTCGGCTAAAAACCACTCGATCTAATACTCGAACTTCGGGTTATACACCGCTAAGTCGAAACTTCGAAAAATCATAACTTCCTCATAAGAAGTCAGATTTGGGCGTTCTTTTTATGGACGCTCTCAGGTTAACATATTCTACAACTTTCATTTAGATTACTAAGGCTAAAAGAAGCTCTATCATAAATTCACTATTTACATCTTCGCTGTGCCGTGCCGGTTCCGTCGCTAAACTTCGAAGGGTCATAACTTCTTCGTTATAACTCGGAT